TATATATATATATATATATATATATATACACATATATATATTACTATTTTTAAAAAAGAATAAAATGCTAACATAGTAATTCTTAGTTGTGTTTCTAAGTTATTGCCAAACATTTATTGAGCATCATGTATGTACCAAGCATTAGAAGACAAAGTAATAAATAAAATTGTCCAAAACAATTGTAAGAGTATGGTTCTTGGAGCCAAATAGACCTATGTTGAAATCCTAGATTTGATAATTATTAACTCTGAGTTTGATCTATGACTTAGTTGCTATGTTTATAATATATAAATAAATTCCATTTTTTTTTTTGCAGGAGAATGTTTATCTGTATAAAAATCTTAACTAATTTTAACTGGTTTCTTCGGAACCTAAATACATTCTGTTTGGCCTTACTTTGAAATATAGTGGCTGGTTACAATGGCTGGTTACATGGGTAGGAATGGACTGTGGATTTTGTGGGCCAGTACCCTTCCTGATCATTGTCTGCAGGCTGGTATTAAATAATTCTTGAGTCATGTTGTACAGAACCATGTCTGAATCACAGAAAGAGGTCACCATGTCATTCAATAGTAATTTTAAGTATGATCCTGGTTCTTGTGCACTTGATGGTCTAGCTGGGATATGCAGAGAGGGCCAGCATCACAAGTCTTAAAAGTTCTGAAGGGGGATGATAGCATTGCTAAGTAAGGAGAAGAAGCAATGGTATGACAGTTTAGAGGTGGAAATCACATGTCAGGAATTAGAAGCAGAGCTGATCCTGGAGAGCCCAAGCTGGTATGTGGCAAGACATAAAGGCAGGCCTGGAAGCACAAAATTAGAACCTCTAATTTGATTCAAGAGGCAATTCATAAGCACAAATATGAATTTAGCAAAATCTCACCCAGGCTCAGATTATACTCTTAAATCCTACTCACTGATGAATACTATGTCACATATAATTCATTTATTCTGTGGCACTAGGAATTTGCATTCAATTTAAAATCTGTCTAAGTTGAAGTATAATAAATAAGACTTGGTTTTGAAAAGTTAACTGGTACTGAACCAAACGTAAAACCTGAACTGCTTGATTTTTTTCATCCATCTCATCAATATACTTCATCTACCATTTACCCCTATTGCTTCCTATGAAATACATATAAATGTGATTTGTAATTTTCTAGGTGGTCACATGTGTTTGAAATGGTCTCAATTACCACTCAGATGCAAACTGCACATGTGGTATAATGGCTAAGGATGAGGATTATGGAACCAGACAGCTGAAGGTTTGAGTCTTGATTCTACCATTTAATTGTGTGACCAAGGGATAGTTAGTGACTTAAGGGATGACTGAGGATGTGACTTAAATTTGCAGTAGCTCTGTCCCCTCATCTTTAAAAGAGAGATAAATACATCATCTAAAGTGGTTATGAGGACTGAATGAACTCACATAGTAAAGTTTCTGGAAAGGTACCTGACTCAAAGTAAGCACCCAATAAATGTTAGTCATTATTATACTGTTGTTGCTAATATCACTATTTCCACTATTATTAAAGGATATCTGCCTTGGCCTTTCAGGAACTAAAAAACTAACATGGTCCTCTAAAAACTTCAAAATAACTAATGCTTTTTTGAACCTTGGTTTATTTAGCTTATTAATAAAAGTTCTGCAATCTACCTTTGAATGTTTACTGAATACCCACAAGATAGAACAGTCTAGGAACTAAAAGAAAGCATGTGCCACTTGCACATATCCTACCAGGACGGCAGCATGACCTCTGAGACAGAATTCCCACTACATCAGCAGACCAAGTTGAAGTCTTGTGACCACTCAATGACTTTCTGTAAAATCAGTTGACTGCCCTGGCCCTTATCCAAGCAAGCAGGTGCAAATATCACTACTACTACCACACCACCAAGCATTCTCTTGGCAGGGGGTTTAAGAATCAAATGATCCTTGGAGAATGACCTAACCTCCAATTCCAGAGGTCTAATTATGGTAAGGTATTCTGGAGGGGTAAAATATTAATCCTATACTCTCCAAAAGTGATGAATATAATTTCTTAGTTGATTTGGGGGGATGACTAAGTCCATCTTTTGGAAAACTAGTCATTGGTTGTCTTTTAAAGATGAATGAATTATCTCAAGTTATTGAGCTACCATGATTTCTAAAACATATGAAGAAAGAAAGACACAGCCAAGAAGCAAAGAGTCAGAAGTGAGGGGAAAAGAACTTGTAATTATTAGCTGGAGGGAGAAGTACAGAGGGAAAAATGCAACTAATGAGTAGGGAATCATTACAACTAACACGTGGGGAATTGGAGATTGAGCAGTCAATACACACTGAGCTTTATATTGTACTGTGGGACAACCTGGAAAATTGTATTGGGACAAAATACGCTCTTTACCCCAAGAAATATAAAAAGAGTAGCTGGAGAGATAAGGAATAAAGAAATGACAAATAATACCTTGAGAACAGCCATAAAATAAAATGCAATCTAATTGCCAATAAAGTGTATTTAAGTGTATTAAAAGTTCAGATATTATTGGGGTTAAGGAACCTGGCAATATTTCAGCCCTGAAACTGGAAAATGGAAAACAGAATATGAAAAAAACAAAAAAGGTTAAAAAAAAAAAAGGCCATTCAAAACTAAATTTACCAGATTCACCTGTGCCTGGCCACTTTAACTAGTCATGAATTAGATAATATTAGGGAATTACTATTCATTATGTTTGGTTTATAGAAGTGTTGGAGAATGCTCTGATTTTTTTGGTGACACACCTGAATAATCAACATAAAGTATCATGATGTTGGCATTATGTTAATAATTATTGAATGAGGCAGTGGATTTATGGAAATTCACGGTCCTTGTCTTTGATTTTCCAGTGCTTTTACATTTTCATAATAGAGTTTAAAAGATCACATTGTTAAATTAAAAATTATGCACAATAAATGAAAATTCTATCAGTGGTTATGTTAGGATGATGGGTGATTTCCATCCCCTTTCCTCTAATGGAAATGTACTGTAATGTGCTTATGGCTGGTTTTATAGAGAAAAAATTATGTGAAAACTATTGTATAAACTTTGAAAAAAAAAACAACTTGATAAAGCAGCATAGTAAAAGATGTATGGCGAGTTTTATAAGGTATATCTTCTTTATGGAAATACTAACACACAGAGGTGAGATGGTGAACAAGGGGGAAGGTCAGGAGAATATCACTGTCTCCATCAGCTGCTCTTCTTTTTTAAGATTTATGATTAGTTGCTGCCACTTCCAAACAATCTCAAGCCTAGACACAATGATCTGATGTGCAAAAGTCTTACATAGGGTGTTGCTTCAGAAAATACGACAAAATAAAATGAGGACTAAGGTGTAAACTTTTTTTTTTTTTTTTTTTTTTTTTTTTTTTTTTTTTAAGTGAGAGAGAGAGAGGGGGACAGAGAGAAAGAGAGAATTTTAACATTTATTTATTTTTTCTTAGTTCTCGGCAGACACAACATCTTCGTTTGTATGTGGTGCTGAGGATCGAACCCGGGCCGCATGTATGCTAGGCGAGCGCGCTACCGCTTGAGCCACTTCCCCAGCCCTCCTAAGGTGTAAACTTTAAACTCAATTTTCTATGTGTAAAATGACATCTAAGTATCCAGGAGGAACAAGCTATCTCTGAAGTTGAACAATTCATAACTTAGTTTAAAAAAACAAAACACACACACACACACACACACAAAAAAAAAAAAACTCTTGCTCTTGGGCTGGGGATGTGGCTCAAGCGGTAGCGCACTCGCCTGTCATGCATGCAGCCCGGGTTCGATCCTCAGCACCACATACAAACAAAGATGTTGTGTCCGCCGAAAACTAAAAAATAAATATTAAAATTTTAAAAAAAGCACAATTCACAATAGCTAGACTGTGGAACCAACTTAGATGCCCTTCAATAGATGAATGGATTAAAAAATGTGGCATTTATACACAATGGAGTATTACTCAGCACTAAAAAATGACAAAATCATGGAATTTCCAGGGAAATGGATGGCATTAGAGGAGATTATGCTAAGTGAAGCTAGCAATCCCTAAAAAACAAATGCCAAATGTCTTCTTTGATATAAGGAGAGCAACTAAAAACAGAGCCGGGAGGAAGAGCATGAGAAAAAGATTAACATTAAACAGGGATGAGAGGTGGGAGGGAAAGGGAGAGAGAAGGAAATTGCATGGAAATGGAAGGAGACCCTCATTGTTATACAGAATTACATATAAGAGGATGTGAGGGGAAAGGGAAAAAAATCAAGGGAAAGAAATGAATTACAGTAGATGGGGTAGAGAGAGAAGATGGGAAGAGAGAGGAGGGAGTGTAGTAGAGGATAGAAAAGATAGCAGAATACAACAGTCACTAGTATGGCAATATGTAAAAATGTGGATGTGTAACCGATGTGATTCTGCAATCTGTATATGGGGTAAAAATGGGAGTTCATAACCCACTTGAATCAGATGTATGAAATATGATATGTCAAGAGCTTTGTAATGTTTTGAACAACCAATAAAAAACAACAACAACAACAACAAAAAACAAACAAACAAACAAACAAAAAAACTCTTGCTCTTTTCTTGTCTTCTTATCCTCATAAACGCAGGCTTCAAACACATGGTGGACAACCCGTGTCTGTGAAATACCATTTTCAGTGTAATTCCAACTTCATGTAAATTAGTCACTGAGACTTCTTTTGGAAGATGTTTTAGTTATTATTTATGTGGGAATTAAGAACACCACTGGCATATACATGACAACATTTTTTCAAAATTTCTCAACATCTCATAAATATGCAAACTTCTGTAGGAGAAAACTCTAAATAAAACTCACTGCAAGGTGTTCAGTATTGGAAAAACACTATTTCCAGCACCACAGCCAACCTAAAATGAAGAGAATAAACAAATACCATGAATGCATTACATTTTCCACACAATGTCAGATTTTCTGTTTTTTAAAAACAAGAAGTTTACTAGATCTCTGGGTATAGTAGGGCTTTCTATATTCAAAAACAATGAAATAAATCACAAGAATAACACTGAAAATTTGACTATGAAAATATTTTAAATTTGTATACACCAAACCCCAAAATAAACCACATTAAAACTTTTGCAATAAATATGATAAAGGCTAGGGCTAATTAAACCTGTACCCAAAGACATTCTGCTACAGAAAATAATTTAAATGTCCAGTAGTATAGAAATAGATATGTAAAAATTATAGTTTTCCACATAGTAAAATAATTTGCATTGAGGAAAATGTTTACAGAGAACTTTTAAAGATAGGTAAAACTGCTTATGTTAAACAAAAACAAACCCCAAAATGTGTGTACAATATAAGCAAAAGGAGAAAAAAAATCAATAAAATTTTAACAGTGTTTAAATCCTTTGGGGACTATAGATAACTTTATTTCTCTTATCTGCTTTTTAGCAAATTCTCTGTAATCAACATATATTACCCTTTTAATCAGAAAGACAGGTCTTAGTTTTAAAAAATAGAAAACAAAGGTCTACACTAGATAGAGCATATTACATATTTCACTTATTTCTATTTCACCTAAAGAGGTAATAACATAGAGAATAAATATGAAGACCAAAACGTTATAAATAGGTAAAACTGCTCTCACGGTAGAAATGAAAACAGTCAAATTTTTTTAAAAAGGGGGTAATAGAAATGAAACTGAAAGTCACAAGTTAAAACTTGACTGATTAAAGATGTGAGTCCCTTAAGTATTATTTATGCATAAAAGTACGCTGAGCACTTAGATTTGATCATTTTCCACCTAAAACATCTGGAACATTAATAAAACATATGAAACATGCATTTGAAAATGTTGTCACTTCCCATTATTGTCCCTTAAGTATAGTACCTCTAGTATTCTGAAATTGGCCCTGCTACCAGGAAACAATTCAGTCTTCAGGGGTCCTTTTCCAAGTTTTTTAGGGTCTAGGTTGGAAAAATCAGATCCTGCTTTGCTTGGGCCATCTGATGAGCCAGAACTTTTCTTAAAATGGTTTTTTTCTTCTTGTATTCTTGAGAAACAATTTCTGGCATTAGGTTTTATATGATCCCATGATGATTCTCTTGTATTATCTTTAGTTTTTAGATCAATTGGAAGAATTTCAGGAAATTCCCTTAATAGCCAATTACGATTCTTGAAAAACTTATTCTTATGAATCTTGTAAAATACATCCCAGTATTTACTAGCTTCACTTTCATACTTATCTAAAAGAGAGGAAAAAAGAAAGTTATTTAACTATGAATCATTTACTATTAGCTACTGTTTTGGTGACTATTTTTAATAAAAATTGTTAAAAATATACATTGTCAATAATTACATTTATGATTGAATATCTTTAGTCTTATAATAATTTTATTTATCTGATAAAAAGTTAAAATTAGAGGTTTGTTTACTTCTCTTCAAATTATCAATAAGTGAATTATTTAGTTCTACCCCTATAATTCTGCTTTTATCTTTAACAGTATGGCCATTTTTTATGAATATAATCATTGAGAATTATTTTCTATAGTCTAATATTGGAATCTTAACAATCACATATTTTACTAATAATCTGTGGATTTTTACTATCTTACAGAAAGGATACCTTGTTTTATAAGTTTCCATTTGACAAATGTGAAAATTCATGATCAAAACAGAAATTGCATAATTCAAATGATAAATCAGGTATGGTAGTACATGCTTGTAATCCCTGCAACTGGGGAGGCTGAGGCAAGAGGATCGCAAGTTCAAGGCTAGCCTCTGCAACTTTCAAGGCCCTAAGCAACCTAGTAAGACCCTCTCTCAAAAAAAAAAAAAAAATACAAAGGGGCCATGGGGCCAGGGTTAGGTCAAATGTCTCAAAGCTTCAGGCAATTCTTAGCCTCCTGATTCTTCCAATATGTACCTTACATTAAAATTTACTCCCAATCTTATTCATCCAACAAACATTTCTTGACTCCTATGAGATAACAGGCTAATCCCCAGGCTTAATCCATGAATTAAGAATTACTTTCAGGGCTGGGGCTGTAGCTCAGTGGCAGAGCATTTGCCTAGTATGTGTGGGGCACTGGGTTCGATCCTCAGCACCACATTAAAATAAATAAATAAATAAATAAATAAATAAATAAAGGCATTCTGTCTATACACAACTACAAAAAATAAAAAAATTTAAAAATAATTACTTTCACCCAATATAGACACATAACATTTTAAAAGTGGATGCAGATGATACAAAAGCTTTTTAATGGATATGGAGTATTTCCAAGATTTAGTTTTGGTGGGGAAAAGCAAGTTGTAAAACATCATATATATTATGCAACCATTCATTAAGAGAGGGGGGGGCAAAGGAGGAGGAAAAATAAATGTGCATGTACACACAGAACCATTCATGTGTCTGTATATACACACTTACTTGTATAGGTACCAAATACCTCTGGAAGGGTAAGCACATATTAGTAACCTTGGATCTCTCTCAGGATATGAAAGGAGGAGCTAAGGATCATGATGTGGAGAATTTTCATTTGAATTTGATCCATGTGAATTTCCTAATTAAATAAATTAATACTAAAACTAAAAGATTCATATTCTTCATCATTATAAAGAAGCCCCTGCTCTCAGAACAAGCAGTTGCCTATGGTCAGGCTCATCATTGTTATATAGCCCTGTCCTGAAGCTTACAGTTTTCCTTTTCTTTCTTTCTTTTTTTTATCTTTATGGCCTCCCACTATAGATCTCCACCCATCTAACCACAAGACTTCCTTCTCATCGAGACAATTGTATCCAGCAGCAGCAACACTGCTATGAAGTCAGGAACTCCAATTTGTACTTAAGATCTGAGAAATGAAAGTGAATCTTTATAACAAAAGAATTATGGGATGTTAAGTCCAAAACATGCTCACATTTGCACAAACAGAAGCAAATCTATGTATGGTTTATCCAAAAATGTATATTTATCTTGAAAATAGTTCTATCTCCACTTTCAACAACTGAAGGGTACTTGATATACTGTGTAAGAAAACAAAACAATCTTCTAAAAATTAGACTCAGGAGAAATTAAAAAACTGCCAAATTTCCCAAGGGTCTTTTTGAACCTCTTTCTCTTCCTTTGCCTTAGAAACTCTCTTTGTAACTCATTCCACGCAGGTGAAAGATTTTCTGCCTAATAAAAAGCAGCTAGAAGACCTATATTTAAAGATAAGAAGCTATTTAGTCATAGCTCTAGTATTCAGGTTTCCAAAGTCAAGTTACTTGAGAGGTAAATTTGAGCCTAATTACCAGTAACTAGAATACTATACCTTGATTAAGTTTGCAAATATTCCCCTAGGAATTAATGGCGGCGAAGTAGAGAGTACAGGGGAATATCCTGGCAAACGTATATGCATAGCAGTCCTATTTGTAATAGAAAAAAGTGGGAAAGAATTCAAGTGCCCAATGACATGGAAGCAAATAAACCATGCAAGTCAAACAGGGCAACTTTACATAGTAATTCAAAAATAAAAGATAATTTACTAAGAGAAAAAAATCACATCACAGCACACTGATGGTAAGTTTAAAATTTATTTTATATTCATTCATCACAGATGAAAAATTGAAGCAATGATAAGAATTTCATAATTATTAGGTATACTGTTCTATCTTTTGTAAAGTAGTATCTCTACATCTGACAAAGATGAAAAACCTTAGCTGAATTCTTCATTCACCTAGCCTACAGTTTCCTCATTTAATGAGAAAGTTGAATTACAGTTCTCCGAATTAGTCTGCTTAAGCTCTAAAAATTCTGTGTATTTTTCTATTAAGTGCCATGAATTTTTAAAAAACAAACATGATTAGTTTTACAAACAGCACAATCTTGAATTGGACTGCTGGTCTAAACACGAGCCTGTTGCTTTAGTTTTTTTAAAGTTTATAAAGAAAATTAACCTGTAATAATGTGATTGCAATCTGTTTTAGATAACAAATATCTGAGGAATCTAAATTGGACCCCAGTGTATGCAATTTTTTAAAAGAACTCAATTACTATTAGAAAACAATGGTTAATGTTTGCTAATATATCTATACTTTCAAGCTGTTTTTCAAGTCTTTCTCTCTCAAAAATTAAGAGAAAAAAATCAAACAATTACATGAACCATTATACCAATAAAAACAATTAAAAATATCAATAGCTTTTAGAGAAAGACTGCCACTCATCTCTACTTCATTTTGAAATCACACGCGATTCCAAATAATGTTTATTTCTTTCTTTATTTATTTATTTTTAAAGAGAGAGTGAGAGGGAGAGAGAGAGAGAGGGAGGGAGGGAGAGAGAGGGAGAGAGAGAGAAATTTTTAATATTTATTTTTTAGTTTTCGGCCGACACAACATCATTGTTTGTATGTGGTGCTGAGGATTGAACCCCGGCCGCATGCATGCCAAGGGAGCGCACTACCGCTTGAGCCACATCCCCAGCCCCTCAAATAATGTTTATTTGAGGAGAGAAGAGTTAGCTACTGGCCTAATACTTGACTTGGGGGTCCTTTAATTAGCAGAAAGAATTGGTAAAGTGATTCTTTTTCTTTTTCCTTTCTCTTTTTGGTACTGAGGATTGAACCCAGGCATTCCAAGCCTCTTTTTCTTTTAATTTTGAGAAAGGGTCTCCCTAAGTTGCTTAGGGCCTCACTAAATTGCTAAGACAGGCCTTGAACGTGTGATCCTCCTGCCTCAGCTTCTCATGTCACTAAGATTAATTATAGGTGTATGCCATTATGCCTGGCCAGTAAAGTGATCAAAAAAATTTGTTTTAAACAAAGGGTTTGAAAATCTCTGGTAAATATTTGGGCATATTTGTCTCCTTTTTAAAAATGGTCATTTAAACAGAAAAATCTATTTCAGTATTAGAAATTTTGGACTCACCTGAGAATTGGTTAGGAATGCAAATTCTTACATGATCCCTGTATTCACACCTTAACCCATGATGTATCAGACTACTCACCTGGCCAGGTGCCCATTTAAACTTATAAGGAATTCAGGAAGGCCCTGAATGTGGGTAAGTATTAAAATAAATAAGGGCTAGGGGTGTAACTCAGAGGCCACTGGGTTTAACTGGTACCACCCCCTACCCAAAGATATACCATAGACTGCCAGGAAGTCTATGGAATAAAAATTCACCATATGACACTAACAAATTACTTGCTTTCCCCACTATTCCTAAGTAGACAGTGGAGTATTCAAACAACCAGTCATGTTTTTGAATGGATTACAGATGCACCTAGCTAGATGTCCTTAGAGAGATCTGTGTTAGTTTGGGCTTTCTACTGTAGATATCTGTAATGTACCTTAAATCTCTGGGGTCAAACTAATACATTTATGAACTGAAATAAAGATGAATATACAAAAAATAACAACAATCACATACTAGATATTTATGGTATGTCAAGTAGTATGTCAAATGCTTTACTTGGACTATCCCCTCCCCATTTAATCCTAATAATATCTCCTATATAGACATTGCTATTCCAATTCATAAAGAAATCCAAGGTCAGAGGGGATAAAAAAATTCCCTAAGGTCACCTTGCTAGAAGGAGCAGAGTCACGACTTAGATCAAGTCTGTCAAATTCTGAAAGTTGTGCTCTTAACCATTATATTAACACCATCTTCCTAACACAAAGTCATGATCACCCCCCAAAATATCTCTGAAAATGATGTTTTTCTTTTTTTCTTTCCTCTCAATTATGAAACATAAAGATGAAAATTAAAACTTCAGTATGACTTCTAGTCAGTATAAGTAAATTGTAAAAAATAACACTGATTATATTTAACCTTCCTTAAATAGATCAGATGTACAGAATTAATTAAATCTTATTTTCATATTGTATGAAATATAAACTGTGCTAGGTTATATGATGAAATTATGATGAACAACAGTAATATGAAATACTCTGTAAGAATAGACGTGTGAGACAGAAAGAAAACAAAGAAGCGGCACCAATGGGTCTCTCACAGCTGTGCTTTAAGCAATATTTCAAATCAATGCTGGCAAATCCATAGTTCCCAGTGATGTGTGACAGCTTTTGAGGCCCCACAGAAGCTTAATCAAACTCATCATAATGATGAGCACAAGACAACAAACACCTTTGATGCATGATTTAATTTCCTGAACTGCATGAGTCTCTGTGATAATAGTGGAAGTGGAGGAGTTACTCTCTGACCATGAGTGAAAAATGGTTTCAACCTGCTGTTAACCCCGCC